CTTTAAGGGAAGTATTTATTGAGATATCTTAATACAAGAGGTATACATTATTTTAAGGACAAATTAATCGAAAAACTCTGATTAACTTAAAAATAGTGAAGATCATATTGTATTAAGGTTCGTGGACATAATCTTCAAAATCTAAAAGTTTATAGTCGAAATCCAAGAAGATCTCTTGGGGACAGAATTAAGCCAACGTTCAGCCAAACTTGTATAAACCTGTGGTGCAATTTCTATAAACCTATTCGTTTAATTTCTATAATTTACTTTCAATATTTAATTCCTGACGCTAGTTACTCAACCAAAATTACTAATATGATTTTAATCGAGAAAGGTATAAAATTAATCACGAATTTTAAATACCACAATTTCTAACACCTTAAACTTTTTTATTTTCTTTTGATTTATTTTTTTAATTATTTTAGTGTGATTTAGATGTGTTATGAGATTAGTTTATTAAATAACTAGAGATAATTGAGAAAATATGTGTCTTTAGAAATAACTAGGAGTATGGTGAGAGTTAGTAAGAAATATTAATAATAATCGAATTTGTTTGAGTAATTGTTATTATTTGATTAGAATATTATTTTAGTTGGAAAGAAATAATTATTTTAAATTTTCTTTAATTAATTAAATTTAGAGGGATATTAGAGTTGAAGTAAATAATTAAGTTTATTAGAATAAATAAATATCTGTGTGATATTTATTTAAATTAGAGAATTATGGGATTGTAATAAAACAAATATTTGATAGAATTATTATTTGATTAAAATAATAAAATATTAGATTATTTTAATAAAGTAGTGAATTAGGGTAATATAAATAGAAAAGTTAAATGAGACTTTTGGGGGAACGTGAAATTATGGAAAAGAGAAAGCGGTTGAAAAACCTAAGGATAATGATCGTAGGAAGGCGACTGAGGTATAATCCCAACAACAAGAAAACTCAACGATCAACACTTTTAAGGTAGGGGTAATTCTTAACATGTTTGGTGTTTAGGCAATAGGATGGAGAGGGGTCTTAACCCTCCAGTCATCTTCGTCCCCATTATTATATGTGTTTTGGTTGATGTATGATTATGGCCAAAAAGGATTTAGGAAAAACCCTTTGAAGCGACCGATTGGTGTATGTTTGTATTTCCATGATAGTATATATAATTTCTATATTTGAATCCATATTGATATTGTTGATATTGCTGATATTGATCCATGGGTATGTCCCTTGGGGATTTTTGTTTATATTTGAATGATGATTTATCTGTGATGTGTATTTGTTGAGTTTCAAGCGATCGATGACCGAGTTAGACTAAGACAACTAAAATCCCAAATGACCTATTTTTTTCAAGAGAATCAAATAACAGGAAAAACTAAAAATAAAAAATAATAGGAAAAGTCCAAAAGTCGAAAAATTAAAAAAATAGGGTACGGACTGTATGGACTACGTGCAGACTGTACGAATTGTACAGACTACATGCAGACTGTGCATACTACAATTTTAGTGGTGGTTCATACGTCGACAGGTTATGGTTCAGGTTTTCTGATTCAATGTCCTGATCGGCGAGTTTTGAGATATTTTTAAGTTTAGTGGTTTTTTCGTTACCCTATTGATAAGTCTAAGAGACAGATTTGTTGCATGAGAGTTTTTTGAGTCAAATTATTATTTGAGCGAGACTGCCAACAAATAGAGTTATTTGAGAGTTCATATTAATCATATAAGAGTTGTCAATTGAGCACTTTTGGGCACTTTATAGTATTTATAGTTGTTTTGGAGTTGCAGAGATTGTTAAAGAGTTGTTTACAGTTTGTCTTGAGAACTATTTTTAGTTAAAGACAAAGATTGTCACCATTTTGATGAGTTGCGAGTATAAAATAAATAAATATTAATATGTTGATGTGTTTTGAGTATTTTTATGAGTTGATGAGTAATATGAGTGTTGTGTAAATTAAGTTGTTGAGAAATGATATAATTTTGCTTTGTTATTGACTGTTAATATAATTAATGAGTCGTAAATTATATTGTTGAGTTGTGGTTTCAGGGAAAAAAACTTTTTATTATGAGTTGAATTGTTTAGAGAGAACTACAATGTTAGCCTTGCATTAGAAAATTTGTGGTTCAGAGAGAAACTTGTTTTGAGTACGAGATATGAGTATTGTTGTTGCTGAATATGAGATTGAATAATAATTGTTATTGATTTTTGAATGGTAATGTTGTTTCCATGTTCGTGCACTCATGTATATCGGAGAAGGGTAAACGAGGTCAAATATTCAGAGAGAACCAATGAAGGTCTCATTATTCATAGAGGACATGGTTTTAGAGAGAGACCACAGACATGGATGATTCTGTACCTCAACTCGGACATCCAAAACACTTGGTACCACATGCATTTGGAGGAGGATTTCATAACATGTCGTGAATTAGAACCTGTATCCCTACAACTGAATCTCTACACGACTATCATTTGAACTTTTTTTATAGAACATTAAATTTTAAATTTTTTGTT